AGCTTTGCTGCCCCCCACCTCACCCCTGCTCCTCCAGGGTGTGTCTGGTCCTTTTCAACTTCTATTGAACTCCCTTGACTTCCTCATTGTTGCCATTGTGGAGAGGAACTCCTCCTAGAGGGGTCCATAGGTACAGTTTGTTGCTTCTTCTTTGCCCCACCCAACCTTTCACTTCCTGCATCAGAATTTTCCATTATTGATAGTGCCTCCACCATTGCACACCCAGATCCAGAGGAGCCTTTTCTCAGTTCTTCCTCAATCGTAACCCAAGTCCCTGGCATCTGTGCTTCCTCTGGGGCCTGAGCCACCAAGCTCCCCCAGCTCGGGCCTAGCTCTGCTCACTCTTCCCAGTAGGAGGGAAGAGGGTGAAGGACAGTAGGATACCTGTCCAGATTGGGACAGGAGGATGCTTTGATTGAGCATCACATTAACCATTCAGTTCTCACAGAACCATGGGAGGAGGAATTGGAAGATGGCAGTGAAGTAGGTGGATCTTTCTCCCACCTCCTCCCAGAATTTAACTAGAACTGAACGAAATTGGGGAATAGTCAGCTGAAGACTGGCTGAAGAGGAGACATTTAAACTAGGAAGGGCAGAGACCTCCTCAAAACTGGTAGGAAAGGTAGGAAGCCAATGGGCACTGGCCCAGCACCAGGAGCTGCAGGCCAAGGGAGCAGAGAGTTCCCCCAGAGAGGAGAGAGGCCTGGACACCAGGCAGGGCACACCAACCTGGACAGCCAGAACTGGCAATAGCCACCATGCACCAACCAGCATCTGTGCTTCTAGTAGTCAGAGACCTGAACCGCCCAGGGACAAAGCCCCTTTTTTAAAGGGCTAGTACACAGGATTTTCCCTCCCAGACACTCACCCTAGTTTTAGGCAAAGGGAGAACAGTGTGAACTATGAACAGATAAAAGTGGTCCTGCCCTCATAGAACTTCTATTCTGGTGGGTGACAGATACAATAAATGAGTAAGAAATATATAATATTAGAGGCCCGGTGCACGAAAATTCGTGCACTTGGGGGGTGGGGTGGGGAGGTGTCTCTCATCCCAGCCTGCACCCTCTCACAATCCGGGACCCCTCAGGTAGGGTCCAGTCCCATCACAGCATGGCTCCGGTTCTACAGATCCTGCGGGCAAGGGGAGGAACCCAGAGGCCAGTCAGATGGCAGCATAGCTCTATTCCCACAGCTCCCTCCCACCGCAGCACCGCAGGCGGCCGGGGCCCACAGTTTCCACCCGCCATTGCACCTCGGGCAGCTGGGACCCAACCCATGCACAAATTCATCCACTGGGCCTCTTGTCTGTATATATAAAAGCCTAATGTGCAGAGTGTCCTCTTGGGAGTTCGACCGACTGGAAGTTCGATCGCTCGCTATGACGTGGGCTGACCACCAGGGGGCGGCACGTAGTGAAGAGAGGCCCCGGCCGGCAGCCAGCAGCCACTAGGGACCCTACCTGTGCACGAATTTCGTGCACTGGGCCTCTAGTTTTAAATAATAGCATTGCTGGTTAGAGTAGTCTTGGTTGTAGGTCTTTGTTTCTCATAACTTTGACTATTTCATGGAAATCCCTTCTGGCTGGAAATGTTTCTGTTGAGGAATTAGCTGACAGTCTTATGGGAGCTCCCTTTAGGTAATTAACTGTCTTTCTATTGCTGCTTTTAATTCTTTCTTTGTCTGTAACCTTTGACATTTTTATTATGATGTGTCTTGTTGTGAACCTCTTTGGATTCATCTCATTTGAGACTCTCTTTGCATCCTTGACTTGTGTGTCTTTTTCCTTCACCAGGTTTAGGAAGTTTTCTGTCATTATTTCTTCAAAAAGGTTCTCCATTTCTTGCTTTCTTCTCCTTTTCCTCCCCCTATGATGTGCATACTGTTATCCTTCATGGTGTCCCAGAGCTCCCTTAGACCAGTGGTTCTCAGCCTTCTGGCACTTTAAAAACAGTTCCTCATGTTGTGACCCAACCATAAAATTATTTTCGTTGCTACTTCATAACTGTAATGTTGCTACTGTTATGAATCGTAATGTAAATATCTGATATGCAGGATGGTCTTAGGCGACCCCTCTGAAAGGGTCATTCAACTGCCAAAGGGGTCACGACCCACAGGGTGAGAACCACTGCCTTAGACTATCCTTATTTTTTTAATTATTATTTTCTTTCTCTGTTCTGATTGGATGTTTCCTGCTACCTTGTCTACCAAGTCACTGATTTGATCATCTGCTTCACCTAACCCACAATTTATACCTTCCTTTGAAGTGTAATTCATTTCAGATATTGTATTCTTCACTTCTGACTGGTTCTTTATTATAGTTTCTATGTGCTCTTTTATGCTTACTATCTCTTTGTTTATGTTCTCACTGAGTTCATCCGTTCTTCCCCTAAGTTCCTCGAGCATCCTTATAATCATTGTTTTGAACTTTGTATCTGGTAGATTGCTTGCCTCCATTTCATTTCGTTCTTTTTCTGGGAATTTCTCCTGTTCTTTTATTTGGGGATGTTTCTTTGTCTCCCCATTTTTAATTTTTTGTTGGTGTTGTTAATACTCACGCAAGGATATTTTTCCCACTGATTTTTAGAGAGAGTGGAAGGGAATGGGGAGGGAAGAGAGAGAGAAAAGCACCATTGTGAGAGAGAGACATCAATTGGATGCCTCCCACATGTGCCCCTAATTGGGCCAGGATTGAATCTGCAACCCAAGTACGTGCCCTTGACCAGGAATTGAACCCACAACCCTTTAGTGTATGAGCTGAAGCTCTAACCACTGAGAAATGCTGGCAGGTCTCTCCCCATTTTGGCTGCCTCTCTGTATTTGTTTCTATGCATTAGGCAGGTCTGCTATGATTTCCAGTCTTGGTATGGTGGTCTTATGTAGTAGTTGTCCTGTGGGGCTCAGTTACACAGTCTCCCTTATAACCTGAGCAAGGTGCTCTGGGAATGTTCCTTGTGTGGGTTATGTAAGCTCTCCTGTTGTAGTTGAGTTTTGATTGCTCTTGGCCCCTCCGTGTATAAGCTTGAACCTCAGACTGGCTGACTGTGAGAATTAATCTCAACCATAGAGTATGAGATGCTGGCTGGGTGCTGACCACATTAAGTGGAATTCACCCCAGCAGCGTCTGCTGCCTGCTGAGATCTCCCTCTGAATATGCTGCTTATGGAGCTAAGTGGGTCCTGCTCTGATGTGGTCTGAAGCCCACCACTGGATGTTTCTTCTGGGACATCCTGGGAGGGACTCCAGTGCATGTTGATGTCAGATGCTGCCTGTGGCTGGCCCTGGGCTACCTGTTTAGAGAAACAAAGCAATACACCATTTGTGGCTGTCTCTGTTGGGCCTGGGTGTGCATGGCAGGGGTCAAGATGTGCACCAAAGCTGGCTTCCAACATCATCAAGGAACAGGTCAGCAAAAGGCCTAAGACACGCCAAGATGTGCTTCCACTGCCTCTGCATTCTGGCTGCCTGTTAGGTTCAGTCACTGAAAGAGCTTCTGGCAGTATGGGACTTGCATGAAGAAGGTTCTCAGTGATTCATCAGGTACCCAGTCTGATGATTTTCATGTGATGCTGGTGGGCAGGGAAAAGTGAAGATGTGCTGCCTCCAGGGGATAATTTTGTCCTTCCCATACTTTCCCTCTGATATCAACCTCTTTATTTTTTTAATATTTTTATTGATTTCAGAGAGGAAAGGAGTGGGAGAGAGAGAGAGAAACATCAATGATGAGAGAGAATCATTGATCAGCTGCCTCTTGCATCGCCTCAAACTGGGGATCGAGCCTGTAACTCAGGCATATGCCCTGACTGGGATTCGAACCATGAACTTCTGGTTCCTAGGTTGACTCTCAACCACTAAGCCATGCCAGCTGAGCCTCTGTATTGTTAATTAATTTTAATTGACACCTTTCTATATGCCAGGCAATTGTCTGGGTGCAAGTAATACCACAATGCATGGGTCCTGGCCTCTCTTAATGGGAACCCTTAGTTATGAGCTGGTTCTTTACAGGGTGTCCCAATATGCTTCCCCTGTATGCCAAATTGATTGAAAAACATAGCAATCTCCATGCCTCCCTATATCCATTCTCTCCACATTGTGACTTTGTAGCTCCTCCCATCAAAAGGTGTTCTATTTCCTGACTCCTAGAAGCGGGGCTGCCTTATGATTTACTTTGGCCAACAGGAGTTAACAGAAGTGATGCTTCAGTTCCAAAACTAAGACTGCAGAGTCCTTGCACTCTTCCAGTTACTCTTTTGGAACCCTGTCCAAAGGCAGAATGCGAATCAGCCCAGGCTAGGCTAGAATGACCCAGTCATCCCATTGTCCCAGCCTGTAGCCAGGCAAATGTCAGTCACGGAAGTGACACTGTCCTAGACCAGCTCCCAGCCAACCCACCAGCTGGCCTCAAATGCATGAACGAGACCATCTAAGGTGAGTCAAGCCTTGTCAGACCAAAAAACACCCAGTTGATCTATAGACTCATGGGCTATAACAGATGTTTATTGTTTTAAGCCGCTAATTGCGGTAGATTGTTAACAATAACTAACCAATACAACTGGGGCTGTTATCTGCTTCTCTTAGCAACTTTGGGATATTCAAAGAAGTTAAAGAATCATCTTTCATTATCACCCTAAGTTTAAACATTTTTAAGTGACAGAAAATAATGGAACTCAATCTATAGGAAAGAAAATGCTCTTTTCACTATGACATAGGACTTTCCCAGGCCTCACCTAGCTTCTTCATTCTGTTATTTTATGGTTGCTAACAATTAGTCTGTGTGTAATGCATAAGGTTTCACAAAAGAGAATATACTCTATGGTTTCATTTATATGAAATTCTGGGAGTTTTTTGAGATGAAGGAAATTTTCTACACCTTGTTGGAGTGGTAGTTACGTAGGTATTTATATTTCTCAAAAGTCATCTCTACTCTTTCAATGAGTTCATTTTACTATGTAAGAATTGTATCTCAATAAAGTTTATTTTTAAGGTTACAAATCTGGGTTGGCAAAGCAAAAGGGAACTCTTATGTACTACTGGTGGGAATGTAAATTGGGGCAACCACTATGAAAAATAATATGGAGCTTTCTGCAAAAATTAAAAATAGAACTACCATATGATCCAGCAATCCCACATCTGGGAATATATGCAAATGAAGTGAAAATGGTTTATCTGCATCCCATGTTCATTGTAGCATTATTAACAATAGCCTAGATATGGGAACAACCTAAGTGTTCATCAGTGGATGAATAGATAGAGAAGATGTGGTATATATGAGCAATGAAATATTATTCATTCACGAGGTAGAAGGAAATCCTGCCATTTGCCACAACATGAGTGGGCTTTGAGGGCATTATACCAAGTGAAATAAGCCAGACCAAGAAAGACAGATACTGCATGGCATCACTTATATGTGGAATCTGAAAATATCATATTCATAGTAAGAAATAGTAGAAAAGTGGTTGCCTGGGTGGTGGGGGTATAAAATATGGAGAGGTTGGTAAAAGGGTACAAACTTTTAGTTATAAAATGAATAGGTCTGAGGCTCTAATGTAAAACTTGGTGACTATAGTTGATAACACTCTATAGTATAAGTGACATTTGCGAAGAAAATAGGACTTAAGTATTCATACAAAAAATTAATATGTAAAATTATAGATGTGTTCATTAACTAGATGGGGTCTTTCCTTTACTATATATGTCAAATCACAACCATGTATACTTTAAATAACTTAAAGTTTTATATGTCAATTATACCTCAATCAAGCTGAAATTTAATTTTTAAAAACACCTTAGGAACTCTATACAATCTTTGAAAGTTAAGGAGAAAAATATTCAAAATGATGGCAGTGCTCCAATCTCCCAGGGCTCATTTCTCTCCCACAGAGATCTTGTTAGGGGTGTCTGGGGAAGAATCCCTCCCCCATCCCTGCCATGTCCATGGCTCAATGGTCCACAGGAAGCAGCTCTAAGACACTCCTATGCTGGCCTCACAGATCCAGCGGTAGAGCCTCTGGCAGACGTCGTCATTCCATTTGCCATCCGGGTGGAAGTGGGCACAGTCCTCACCTCCACCCAGCCCATGCCCCTGCCAGTCGTCTGGCTGGCCCGGCTTCCAGTTCCTGAGGGGGAAGGGCAACAGCAAGTTGGGAAAGTCAGATGGAACAGAGTGGGGGTGGGGAGAAGAGGCTGTAGGTCAGATCCTCGAGGAGCAGAGCTGAAGGGGAAGGAAGAGCACAGAAAGCAAATGTACTCACTTGAAGTTGGTCTCATAGTCTGTTCCATCCACCCATTTCCAGGCTCCTTCAGGATCACTGAGGCCCATCCAGGTGTATGAGGAGCCTATGTGCTTCTGGACAAAAGTCTGGGACGACAGAATGACAATAATGTCCTCCCCAACTCCTTGGACGAGGAGTTCTGAACTTTACACGTTCATTATATCAGTTGAGGGGATTTGGGATGTTTATCCCAATGCCCAGGCCAATTGCCATCAAACTCAGCTTTAACAACAGAGACTGGCGATTCCATCATTGTGCGAACATCATAGGGCAGTGATGGCGAACCTTTTGAGCTCGGTGTGTCAGCATTTTGAAAAACCCTAACTTAACTCTGGTGCCGTGTCACATATAGAAATTTTTTGATATTTGCAACCATAGTAAAACAAAGATTTAGGTTTTTGATATTTATTTTATATATTTAAATGCCATTTAACAAAGAAAAATCAACCAAAAAAATGAGTTCACGTGTCACCTCTGACCCGCGTGTCATAGGTTCGCCATCACTGTCATAGAGTGCACTTAACAAGCTGGATGGGATAGCCTACCGCACACCTAGGCCATGGCCTATTGCTCCTAGGTTATCAGCCTGTGTGGTGTGTTACTCTACAAAACCACAAGAGATGATAAAATCAAACACAAAAGGAAAGGATGCACAAAAGAGACACAGTAAACACAAGGTATATGATATGAGGCTGCTGCCAGCAAAACAAAGCATACGTTTAAACAACAAACTTTTTTTTATAAGTAGAAAGAATACACTCTAGCATAATAATAGTTTCCTATCTAATAAAGCAGGAAAATGCAAATTGACCATCACAACATCACAAAGGTGGTGGCACCCACAGTGGAGGAGGGGTTTCTGTAATACAAGATGGCTGCACCCACAGCGGAGGCCAGCTCCCCTAATGAGCCTTAACAAGCAATCAGCAGGGACCTGAGGCAGTGCCCCCCACCCAGTGGGGCTTGACCGGGTACCTCAGGTCATGCCTCCCACCCTGGCACCAGGGTGGGGGATCTCAGGCCGTGCCCCACGCCTGGCATGGCTTGATGAGGAACCTGAGGCCACACACCCCACCTGGCACCAGGCCAGGGGACCTGAGGCTGCGCCCCTTGCCCAGCGGGGCTTGACAAGGGTGGGGCCAGCCAGGTCTGGATCTCGCCCAACGGGGGTGGGGCCAGCTGGGTCTGGGTCTTGTGCGATTTTGAGGTGCCATGGGTGGGCAGCGACTTGTCTCTGGGTCCTGCGGTGCACCCCAGGCTCTGACAGGAGGAAGATTTTCATATACATTTTAATAATTTTCTTACATCTCTGATACTTCTATTATAGAAAAAGGACAAATAGCAATATTACAATATTTCCTCTAATCAATCCCCTTTTCATGTGCATGAATCTTCATGCATCGGGCCTCTAGTAGTATCATAAATGCATAAATCAGTAACAGTTGTTTATTACCATTTGCAAGTACACTGTACTGTGCATAATTGTAAGTGCTGTGCTTTTATACATATGACTGGCAGTGAGGTAGGTCTGTTCACACCAGCATCAGCACACACACCTGAGCAATGTGCTACGCTACATCATGACAGCTACTGCCCACTAGGTGAAAGGAATTTTTGGCTCTAATCTAATCTTATGAGACGACTGTTATCTCTTTGGTCCATCTTTGCTGAAATGTCATTGTGTGGCCCATGATTATAAATCCCTCAGGTGTGGCTCACATTGCCATGGTCTTAAAGCTCCCTGGTGATACCAGTGTGCAGCAAGAGTGGAGAACCGTTTCTTTAGTGGGGCCAGTTTTCAGGACCTGAGCTCAGACCTGAGCCCTCACCTGCTCCTCTCTGGAGTTGATGACAACCAGGTGGGCATTCTGCAGCTGGCAGTACTTCTCGGCTTCGGGCCAGGGCTTCCCAGTACCAGAGACCCAGTAGCAGCTGCCTTCATGCTTCAGCCAGTTAATGGGACAGCAGGTATTCTGAGAGTCTGAGGTGGAAAGGGAGGATGATCTGATATGCTGCCCAACATGGGCAGAATATAGGGCTAGGCACTGCCCTCCACCACTCACCATTGCTCTTGAGCGCAGCCATCTGACAATTCAGGGAGTTCAGGCCTTTGACGAGTTGCTGGACTTGCAGGAGCATTTCAGAATGACCTGGGGCACACAGAAGGGCAGTGGGGACAATGCAGGGGGGCCGGCTCAGGGCCCTCCATGCTCTCCCACCACATCAGGCCCAGGGGAGGGGAGAAGGGGCCTGACCTGCTTTGAGTTCCTGCTGCTCTTTCTCCAGCTTGCTCTCCAGAGAAAACACCTTGTCATTCAGGCTACGGGCTGGAGGGGAGGGCACTCAGCACCCCAGCCTGCGCCCACCCCACCTCTGTCCTGAGAGCCGGGCCCCCACCCTTCCACACTCACTCCTGGAGGGCCTCTCACCTGCTTGCAGTTCCTGCTCCTGCTTTTCCACCACAGCTTTCAGAGATGTTATTGTTGTTTGCATACTGCCACCTGGAGGACATGGGGACTCAGTGCTCAGGATCCAGCTCCCCCTCCCCCACCACAACCCCAACCATCCTGAGCCCCTTCCAGCCAGGCTCACCCTGGGAGTGCAGTGCCTGGACCTCAGCCATCGTGTTGGAGGTGAAGTTGCTGAAAGTTGCTCTCAGGGTCTCCAGGTCCCTCCGCATGTTGGCATCTGACCAGGCAGGTGGGACAATGAGAGCTAAGATTGCTCAGTCCTGTCTGTGCTGACACTCAGCAGGGCACTTGACATACATTGGCTCATTGGGTCCTCACAGCCACCCCACTTCAAGGGACAGGCGCTGTTGTTATCCAAGCTTGCAGAGAGGAAACTCAGGCTTCCAGAGGTTAGGCACTTGGACTACATTACCCATGAGTAAGCAACAGAGCCAGCAGCCGCCTTTACCCACCATGATCATCATCAGTGCCTGGGTTACTGTGCCCCACTATCGCCCCCTTCCCTGCCCATCCTGGGACACTCACTTTTGGATCCAATCACGCAGATGCCAATCATCAGGAGAAGGATGAGGCCCAGAGAGAGCAGAAGGGGCCAGGGGCCAGAGCAGAGATGCTGCAGGAAGGCTGGGGGAGGAGGCAGCCCTGCAAGAGGAGAGGACATCAGGACATGGAGGTTGAGGACAGGAGAGACACGGGGGAGGAGCAGGGGCCACAGGGACCTGTCAGGGATGAAGAGTGGTGCAGGTAAAGCTGGGGAGAGGCTGTGGTGCAGGGGATGCCCAGGCATCTCACCCCTCATGGACCAGCACAAGTTCTCAGTCACACAGACCCCCTCTCCTCCAGAAACACATGATGATGACATGTAAGGTCTTATCATCAGGCCTGGAACAGGGGGCAGGAGGACACAGAGGGAGCCGGGGCAGCCAGGCCCTCAGCAGGCTCGTGCTTATCTGTATTGTCAGGTTAGCCACCGTTTTTCTTCCAAGCATGACTGTTCACTATCCCAGTGTAAATGCTCATGACCTTCCCCAGGGTATAGCAGCCAGGACTGCTTTGGTCCACCCTGATCCTGTCCTTCAGAGGATTGTGAATCCTCTTCATACAGGTGACCCCTCAGAGTGGGAGAGCCCAGCAGTGGACATGGTAGAGGTGCAGATATACCATGACAACAGATATCCTTCTAAACATATTAAGAAAAGTATTTTAGAAGACACCATTTCTCCTTTCCTCTTACCATTTCTAGAACCCTGGCTTTTCTTCTCACTCTCCAAGGACTGGAGGTCTTCATACTTCACTGACATCCTTGAACCAACTCTGAAATGGAGGCAGGGCCAGAGACCAGGCTAGGGATGGAGTTAGGCCAGTGGTCGGCAAACTCATTAGTCAACAGAGCCAAATATCAACAGTACAACGATTGAAATTACTTTTGAGAGCCAAATTTTTTAAACTTAAGCTATATAGGTAGGTACATTGTTATTAACTTAATTAGGGTACTCCTAAGGCTTAGGAAGAGCCACACTCAAGGGGCCAAAGAGCCACGTGTGGCTCGCGAGCCGCAGTTTGCCAACCACGGAGTTAGGGGATGGAGGAGGTTGGAGCTGAAGTCAGGGATGATGTCGAGGTAAGAGAAGTTCAGGTTGAGGATGAGCCAAGGGTTAGGGAGAGGAATGGGAATGGGCCTAGGTTTGCAGCAGAGGTTGGGAGTGGGGTCAGGATTGGTCTCTGGGCTGGGGTCAGATTGAGTGTGGAATGAAGGTGAAGGTAAAGTTGGAGCTAAATATGGGACTAGGATTGGGTCTAACATTGGGGATGCAATTGAGTTTGCATCTCCTTCTTTGATCTTGGTTAATACTTCAGCTTGGACCTGAAGCTGGAAACAGAAGAGAGTCAATTTGGGGCTTGTGTTAAGATTCATGTTGACTTTGGGGCTGAAGCTACGTTTGGGGGTTAAAGGAGAAGATGGTGTTTCTAATGAGGTTAGGACTGAGGCTAGGCTGGGGCTAGAGATGGGGCTGGAGATGGGGCGGAGTGAGTCTCAGTTTGTGACCGAGGTTTGGCTGTCATATTTCAACCTGAATCCAGTTAAGTGAACAGAGTCTAAAATTCCCACTTGGCCACTAAATCTCCAAGCTGCCCTTTTATATCTCTTTCTATTCCATCTCTCTTGAGACCCACAGCCCCCTCTCCCTGCTTTCTCTAACTCCCTCCCTGTCCCCTTGGTCTCACCTGCATCCCCAGCCCAGTTACCTGTGCAAAGTCTGGAGGCTGTGATTCTTGGGTTTGCAGTGCAGCAATGAGCAGAGTTGGTTAAAATGAAATCCTGGAGAGTGGGGTAGAGGTGCCTGGGGGAGGAGTCGAATAAATGACTGGAGTCCTGCTGGTCTCTGTGTCTGAAAGCCCAGGAGTCTATACTCTGGGATCTCTCATTTCCTTGACTTTGGGCACTAAATAATAATCAGATCACAGGCTGAGACTGCGTGTTTGGGGTGTTAGCTATCAAGCCAGTTTTGCTCTCCTCCTCCTGTGTATGCCTCCTCCCTTTCCGCTTCTTTCAGCCTTCCTAACTTCCTCATTTTTATGATTGTGAAATGAGTCCTGACCAGAAGGGATAAGTGGTCATTGGGCATCATAGTGACTGGTTGACCAGTCGTAACGATTGCTTAGGCTTTTATATAGATAGATAGATTTGGTGTTGTATTGTTTTAAATATATGACCATGGCTTATAAACAGCTTCTTACTGGATTTTTTTTTTTACCCAACCTAAGATTTTCTGTTTATTTATTAGTAGAATTAAACCTATTTACTATTCACATTTATTATATTATTAATACTACTAGAGGCCTGGTGCATGACATTCATGCACTGGGGTGGGGGACCCTCAGCCCGGCCTGTGCCTTCTCACAGTCTGGGACCCCTCAGGTGATGTCCGCTGAGGGGTTCTTAGTGCTGCCACAGAGGCAAGAGAAGCTCCTGCCACCGCTGCTGCACTTGCCAGTTGTGAGCCTGGCTTCTGGCTGAGCAGTGTTCCCCCTGTGGGAGCACACTGACCATCAGGGGGCAGCTCCTGCTTTGAGCATATGCCCCTTGATGGTCAGTGCACGTCATACCTACTGGCCATTCTGCCATTTGGTCAATTTGCATATTAGCCTTTTATTATATAGGACTAGAGGCCTGGTGCATGAAAATTCATGCACTGGAGGGGGGTCCTCAGGCCAGCCTGCCCCCTCTGACAGTCCGGGAGCCCTCAGGGCAGCAGATGACTTGGCGATCAGGAGAAAGCGATGCCCCCATCACACCTCTGCTGCTGCCACTGCCGGCAGCACAAGCCTCAGCCGGCCCTGGTTACCAGAGCCTTGGGCAGCCCTGGGCGGCTGGGCAGCCACCATCCGAGGCTTGCCTTCACCTTGGGCTGGCCCTGGGTGGCTGGGCAGCCGCCATCTGAGGCTTGCCTGTGCCTCAGGCCAGCCCTGGGTGGCTGGGAGGCAGGGGGGACTGGGGAACTCAGGAGGCAGGCACCCGGTGGGGCTGAAGGGATTGGGCACCATCATCTTGTGGCTGTGGGTGCCGCCATCTTTGAGGGTGGGGCAGTCAATTAGCATAGTCCCTCCTTATTGGCTGTGGGCACTGCCATCTTTGTGATGGCATGAGGGTCAATTAGCATATCCCCTCTTTATTAGATAGGATAATTTATTTTTGCTATATAATTTTATGGGGGGGGGGGTGTTTGTTTTTAACCCTCATCCAAGGATATTTTCCATTGATTTTTTTCCCAAATTATAAGAGAAAGTTTATTTAGAAAGTTACAAGGTAGTAGAAGTGAGCCAGCTGGACTGCATAGGCTCAGGAAACAAGTTACAGAGGCAAAAGAAGAACCCTTGGAGCTTAGGAGAGGGAAAGGCAAAGGTATCATGCTGGGGGGGGAGGGACCAAAAATGCCTTTCTCCACCCCTCCACTCCTCCACCCCCAGCTTTTCTCCCGCGCAGAAGCTCTTCCCAGCAGCAGACCCCTTGGTGGGCAGAGACCACCACAGGGCTCCGAGTGATCCCTCTTAGGAGGCTGGAGTCTAGCACGCATGGAGCAGGTAAAATAAGGAATTTTGAGTTTTTCCCATTGATTTTTAGAGAGAGTGGAAGGGAGGGGGAGAGACACAGAGAGAGGAACATCGATATGAGAGTAACACATCAATTGAGTGCTTCCCGCACATGCCCCAACCAGGGCTGGAGGATCCAGCCTACAACAAAGGTACATGCCCTTAACCGGAATGGAGTCTAGGACCCTTCAGTCTGTAGACCAATGCTCTATTCACTGAACCAAACTGACCAGGACTATAATTTTATGTTTTGATCTGCCATATTTTCTTGCCTTTTTTTTCCTGACTTTGACAGGTTGTTGTTGTTTTGTTATTGTTGTTTTTGCATTTTCTTTCTTAAAATGGTTTTGAAAATTTCTTGCTTCTATTTTTCAGTGTTTCCCTTCAAAATTTTCTCACTAGGTTGTCGTAAATGTTTCCCTCCATGTCCCGCATGGTTCAGGGTTCAATATCTGGAAGAGGAGCCACACACAAATGAAATAGAAAAGACAAGAGATAATTTGGAAATATTGGGGGACCAGGCAGGTAAGTCCAACTCAAGAGGAAGGACTTCCACCCGTGCTCAGTCCGCACCGACCTTTTATAGTCTGAGGTAAACAATGCAGTGGTTACCATAGTTACAGTTCTTGTGAGTTTCGCCTGTTTTGATCATGTTTACACTCCCTGCACTTCCCTCAGCCCATTAGCTTCCCAGGTAAGATCTGGGGAGTGTTATAAGGTCAAGCCTAATTATGCTTAGAGGACTGAGCCTTCTCAGCTGGGACTTGTTTGTGACTTTGCCAGCAAGTCAATCGGAGGCTCAACCCTATATCAGTTTCCCACATCTCACCCTTTTTTTTTTTATTAGCTACTATAATGAAAAACTTAAACATCAAGAACAAAACTCTGGCTATTAAAACAGTAACAAAACAATGCCAATCCATAGCCCAAAACATTTTAAAACTTAAACATAACATTTTAAGCCCATCTGAGCTATAAACTGCTGTCCTTTGCCAGTAATAATACAAGCTTGTAAACCTTCTAAGACATCTCGGCCCCAAAAATTGACTGCAATTCCAGAGACAATGTAGAGCCGAAACCATCCTGTCTGTCCTTCCTCATCTTGCCACCTTAAGACTGCAGCACTACGTTGTGTGTTATCAGGAACTCCCACCCCCCCTAATTGAGTCCATAGCTTCTACCACGGACCAACTTGGAGGCTAGAATTCTTTGCTGATAACGCTGACATCTGCCCCAGTGTCTACTAAGCCCTTAAACACTTTTCCTTCTATTCTCAAATTAATCATAGGACGGGTTTTGCTAATTTCCTGTATCCAATAGATGTCTGAGCTTCCAAACCCTTGGGCCCCTCTCCTCCTGTTAATAGCCTCGCCTTGCTGAACATAAGGTAAAAGTAGTAACCGAGCAATCCTTTGTCCTGGAGTAATTCGCATAATATGATTACATTCTAATATAACTTTAATCTCTCCCTGATAATTTGAATCTATGACCCCAGGAAAAAGAGTTAATCCTTTCAGAGTGTTTCCACTTCTCCCTAAAATTAATCCTAAAGTTCCCGGTGGCACAGGTCCCCAGATTCCTGTAGGAACAGCTTGCCAAGCCATATCGGGGGTCAAAGTGACCGCTATAGTACTGTTAAGATCTAGGCCTGTGCTCCCTGGAGTGGTCCGGATCAGAGAGTCCACTGTGGGCTTTGCAGGGCAGATCTCCCCTTTTAATGACGGGGCTAGGGGCAGCCCCTCTGGCCGTTTCCCTGCGATTGGCCATACCCTGTGTCTTGATACAATGGCTGCCTATTTTTATGGAATCTCATTTACAACGGCTGGCGCAATGGTAGCCCTTCTGACACCTATTACACCGAGAGGTTGGATTTGTGTTGATCGGCTCAAGAGGCGGGATGTTCGTGCCTTTCCCTAGAGCGCCTCCTTGTGTCCTTCTTAATTGCCTACATTCTTTTCTAAAATGTCCTGTTTTCCCACCATTATAACACTTATTATTCTTTACAGTTACAGCTGCAGCGAGTACATTTGCTAGAAAAGTGCCTGACCCCACATTCTGACATGCTCGAATCATTTCTGTAATGGTACTACCTTTTCTCAGAGGCATCAGGCTTTTCTTACAATCCTCATTGGTGTTTTTATAAACTAATTGCTAAATTAAAATATCTCCTGCTATCTCATGTTGAATCTGTCATCTCACTGCTCGAGTGAGACGAGCCACAAAATCAGAAAATGATTCTAAAGGCCCCTGCATGCATTTACTTAAAGCTCCCTCAGAGTCCCCTTTTGCTGGTAAAGCCCACCAAGCTTTCTTTCCACAAACTCTAATTTGCTCATATGCCAGCTGCACATCATTTAACTGAGTTTGCATGTCATTATATTGTCCCAGTCCTGCTAGCATTTCATAAGTTATTTGAGCATTCAGTCCACGGTTTGTATGGGCTTGCTCCTGGCATTTCTCCAAAAATTCTCCCCTCCATAGTAAATAATCTCCTCCATCCAGAGTTGCACGAGTTAGAGAATACCAATCATAAGGAATTAAGAATGCTTCAGAAATATTATTCATAATTTCTCCTGTAAAAGAAGCGGTTGGACCATTTTGAACTACACTTTCACGTAAGGCCTTTATCATTTTAAAGTCAATTTTTTCATGGTGTCTTGTTATCTGATTCGGGAGCTGTGGGTCAGCTACCTGTATGATAGGAAATGCAAACCTTTCTTCCACCGGCATGTCCTTCAATCCTTCTCTGATGACTTTTTGCACAGGTGATTCTATTAACGGTGAGTTAATCATTTCAGGATTAGGACAAGGAGGTGGAGGTGGAGGGTGCCATGAAGGCCAGTCCTCCAATTTTTCTTCCTGCTCCTCTCTAGGAGGAGCAGAGGGAACCAGGAGAGGAGGCTCCTTCTCAGCCTCTCTAAAAGGCTCTAGCAAATGCAATATTGTGTTCCTCATGGAAAAACAGTTTTGGTTTTTTTTGTGTGTGTGTTTTTGTTTGTTTTTTGTTTTTTAAGATAAGTTTTTCTCTGCTTGCTGAACTTTTTTCAAGTTCTGACTTACTTTTTGGCAAACTTTCAAGATCAAATGTACCTTCTTCTTACTTTTTAAAGCCGAATCTTTTTTTTTTTTTAAGCCGAATCCTGCCCCATTAGCCTGGTTGAGAAAACGTTCCCACACCGCCTACAGCTCCGGGCTACTGTAGCTGATTGTGGCCGTTTGTGTGCGGTGAAATAACCCCTCACCTTTACGGTGAATTTTCCTACCTTTACGGTGAATTCTTTGTTCCTCACTTTGCCAGTGAAACGTCGTGTTTTCGCTCTAGCAAAACCTTCACTTCCAGAGTTCCCCTCGGGCGCCAGATGTCATAA